AGAACTACCCTGTTTCCCCCAAAATAAGACAGTATCTTATATTAAATTTTTGTTTGTTTTATTAATTTTTGCTCCCAAAGATGCACTAGGTCTTATTTTCAGGGGATGTCTTCTCTTTCCATGAAGAAGATTACGGTACACATTTGTTTATTGTTTTATTAAGAGACCTCGCACTTCCTGTCTGCTCCGGCTGGGTGGCCAACAGTGAGCTGTGCAGTGGCACCTGCTGCTACAGTCCAGAGTCCAGAGTTACGGTAGCTTTGGGGGTCTTATTTTGGGGGAGGTCTTATTTTTGGGGTGATGCCTTATATTTCAGTGAGAGGCACTGTAAGTAGGTCTTATTTTCAGGGGATGTCTTACTTTCAGGGAAACAGGGTAGCTGTTAAAGATGAAATGAAATTTCAGTATCACAGCCTGTATCCACCCTTCCAAACATCACCCCCTAAATTGATGAAGGAAAACAAGTATTACAATCATTTGAGGGATTTACTTGTTTAAAAGAATCATGGTAATGTTTTTCTTTACAAGAGCATGCTTCCTGACTGCTCTTTAAATACATTTCAAAACATTTCATCTACATGCAAAGTACAAGTGTACTTGATTACTATTTAGTAAATCCGAGAAAGGGTAGGTAAGACACTAGAATTAGCTCAAGTTCAGAGAAACAAATGAACGCAATTACTGTATACTCACCTCAATTGGCTCGATGGGTTAAGCTTTGGGTTCACACCTACCACCGTCAACCACTCCATGGGGCTAAGAGGCAACTTCCATGACTTAGTCTCAGAAACCCCAAGAGCAGTGCTATTCTGTCTTTATAAGATTGCTATGCATCTGAACTGCCTCAAGGGCAGTGGAATGGCTAGATTGGTTCTATCAGGGTATGTTTGAACAAAGATGGTATCTAAGTGTAGAAACTTGTAAGTAAACAAAAAAATACTGAGGTCCTTCATTAAAGAGTGTTGGTGGCACAGCGGTTATGCATTGGATAGCTAACCACCAAGGTCAGCAGTTCAAAACCACCAGCCACTCCAAGGGAGAAAGAATGAGACTTTCTACTCCCAGAAAGAGGTACAGTCTTGGAAACCCCCGGGGCAGTTCTACCCTGCCCTACAAGGACACTGAGTCAAAGTCTATTGGGTGGCAGTGAGTTTGGTTTCTATAGATTATGAACAAAATTGAACAAGACTTTGAGTTAAGGTAAAAGTTCACTTAAATAATTTAAAATACTGCTTTGTATTTTTCTAAACTCTCAGAGTATAGTAGTTTCTCAGTCTCAAAAGCTCCTCTAAAAGTTCAGAGGCTTTACTTTTGACATTTAATTTGCTTGGTTGTACTAGTTTAGAAAGCAAGTAAGAAACTGCTTCCCAGTAGTGGAGAACTGTGACCAGTGCCATTTGCCCTGGCGCTGGGCCCTGACTCCCGGGTTGTGTTCTAGAGCACAACTGCTCCCCGGATTTTCTTGTCTGTGATGTTTACAGAAAGTTTACCAGGTCATTCGCTCCTTAGGTTTGATTCCCTGGGTTAGCAGCTCACCATCAACTGTGCCACCCAGCCTCCCTTCAAAGAGCCTGTATGTGAGTGAGAGTTGCTAGTAAGCTTGGTCATTCTTACTCATAAATAGGAGGGTCTTTAAGCAGTCTTTTAAGCAAAATTCCCACATAGTAACTGCCTGGTCCACATTTTTCCTCTATTTAGACAAGTTGTTTCACAGATATCAAACCAGAAATTTCTGAACACTCCTGAGGCTAGCCATGAGATGTGTAAAATAGAGCTTTCAGTTTTTAAATTTTGTTCTAACTGAACACTAAGAAACCTTATGGGGTCTGCATAAGTGATATCAAGATAAATTCCCGCCAATGTTATCCTTAACCATTCCTCTTCATATATCTATTTTCAGTCTTCTGGATAGACAAGCACATAAAAACAAATGAAAACCTGTGGGTGGAAGCCTTTGTTTTGAGGAACAGCGGGTCGGAGGCCATTTTATTGTATCCCTCCCACAAGTAAAAAAAGCATTTCAAATGGCTTTTCTAGTTTTTTTAAGTAAATTATTAACTTAATTACTTAAAATGTATATGGTCTACCTACATGTAAGCCATGACCTACATTTTCCACGATGAAGTCTCAACTTTAAAGTTCCTGTACTGGTAATATCTAAACTGCATTCTATGTGTGGTAACTCTTCTTTTCCAAGTTGACTTATACATGTACTTCTAAGTTAATTCTAAGAAGCAGAAACTTATGAAAATTCAAATACATTTCAGGTTTATTTCCTTAGCAACACATGTTGACCGCATATCAAAATACCAAGGGCTCAGCTGCTTGGTGTTTGCATTGTTCACTTTTATTTTAAGACATCTATTTAAATGGAGCAGGGCAGTTGAGAGCTTTCCAATTAATTACTCACTTCACACTGGCTCAATTTTGTGGCCCAATATTTACATGTAGAGAGTATAAAGTAGTAGGCCAGGGTCAAAATCAGAAATGTTTATACTGGTAAAGATTTCATCAAGATGTTTATGTGTAATAATAATCTAATATTGTCCCCTATTTTTCTTGAAATGACCATAAGAGGCTAGTGGGAGGTGCTAGATTTCACATTTTATTTTATTTTTATTTTTTTAACATTTTATTAGGAGCTCATACAACTGTTATCCCAATCCATACACACATCAATTGTGTAAAGCGCATTTGTACATCGTTTCTCAAAATATTTTCTCTCCACTTAAACCCCCGACATTAGGGCCTCATGATTTCACATTTTATATGCAATGACTAACATCAGTGGGACACGAGGGTGCAGGCTAGTACCTATGGAGCCTGTACTTGGTTAATGTACTAGAAGCAAATTTCACTCACTGTCAAGCACCAGGCAAAACCAAAAAAAACTAAAAAGCTTCTCTGTTTATACAGTAAATAAAAATTTATTCATATACTCTTACAAAAATATGAAGGCTTAAAAATATCAGTGTAGTTACAACTTCACTCACAAAAATGATTCCATGCCAACTTCTAAGTCACTAGGAAAGCATTTACACTGATCTATTTACAGACTCACCAAAAGCATTTGTGTAGTTATCAACACTTAACATGACAATGCTTTACGTGTTTACTAATCCAGGATCAAAACCATCTAAATGTCTTCTTCACCTTGTGCTTGAATCAAGAGGTAGTTCCTTAAACATCAGTTTTTACTAACATCAAGCATTTACTGGCCAAGCATATTGGCTTTCCTTTGGGAAAACGATGCCTTCATGTCACTTTAAATTCAAAGATTTAAAGACTACGTCTTAAAGAGGAAAAGCCTGTCAACGAGAAAGCATCTAGGGGGAAATTGTGGTGCCCAGAAAGAAAACAAAACCATTGTGACTTCTGGAAATAAAGCAACACTCAATTACTGCCTAAAGTTAGTCACTCGGCTTACAGCACTACAGACACCCAATTTAGCATTATCAAACATTAGCAAATACATTAAGGTCAGTAGCCAAAGTAATAATTTAAAAAATTAAGTTCATTAATCATAAGCATCTGAATTTCAGTTGTAAATTATGCGACTATTTCAGGATTTCTGCATATGTGGGCTTTCAATAGCTGCAAGATAAGGAACATGAATTATTAATGCATGCTAACACAACTTTCATACTGGACCTCTTATAACCTTGCATCTAGCGTTATATATAAAGGAAGGTGGTTGAATGAACTCTGTCTGCCCAACAAATTAAGCCGAAAAGGGAGAAACTGTAAAGTCGCGTAAAACTACACTGTGACTAACGCTAACAGGGGCTTGGCTTGGTCACGCTTAAGGTTTATCAAATTAAGTTAAAACTTCTGAATATTGAGTTGCAAACTGATAGCCACTTTATCACAGTGCATACAAAAAGATCTAAGTGACTTCAAACTTAGGGACCCGATATGCATGGAATCCTAAAGTGAAGAACTATGTGTAATGAATGAGTTGATTCCTTACTAAGCAGGTTTAGGCAACCTTGCTAGGTGGCAGTAAAATAGCAAAATATCACAACTGAAGAATAAAATCAACTGTGGTTTCTATTCGCTGCCCTGGATTTGTTCCTCCTTCAGAGCTATTATAAAAGCGTTATCTCATCCATCTGTGGTGTCCCGGCACTAAAATAACACAATCCGCAAGGTCCCCGGTACTCAGGTTTCCGAGAAGAAACGCGCTGCTGCATTAATTTATGTTTCAACCGAGAACATAAAACTGGGGCAACGGTGTTACAAATCGCCGGTTGTGGTGAAAACAACCAACGTCCTTCCTCCTTGTCCCTTTTTAGAGTGAGGACCCCATTTCATCAAAGCTTTTCAATCGAGGATTTTTACAACTTCTGCCAAGGTCCAGAGGCTTTAAGAAAACCGACAGGCCCGTTTGCACGCTTAACAGAGTTACTTGATTGAAATGAAGGCAAAACCAGCGAGACAGCGTGTCAAGGTTAGGCGGACGGGAGCGACAAGGTCCGGCGCGCTGGGCATTTCCGAGAGGCCGGGGAAGCGGGCAAGGTGGGCCTCGGGGAGGGCGAGGGGCTCCGCTTGCTGGGCCCGGGGCGCCGAGATCGGAGCGGGGAGCCCCGAGACCGGAGCGGGGAGCCCCGAGACCGGAGCGGGGAGCCCCGAGGGCCGCGGGTGCCGAGCTGGAGACGAGGCCGCGGTGCTCTCGCCGATCGTCCTGCAGGCCCGGAAACCGCGGTCGGCGGCCCGCCTGA